TAAAACACTACACTGGACAAACAAGTGAAGAAAAGTACACGGAAAGATAAAAATCACTTCCACGACACGCTTACAAGTGAAGCAGAACAGGCTACAGGTAGTAGGGACAGAGATCTGACAACATCATATCAAATAACCAGATTACTGTCTGGGATGGGTGAGATCAACACAGATGAAACCAATGAAAGATAGTGAAGGTAACTTAGTTGCCGCGAGAGAGGAAAAACAAAGGAAACGATGGACTGACCACTTCAAAAGACTCTTGAATTCACCACCACCACCACCACCACCCCTACCTGCAACCCGTTCAGAAATACCACCAGCAGACCAGCCACAGAACTATCCGTGAACACAAACCCTCCGACAAAAGCAGAAGTGAATTTCTGAACGCCATAAAGTTACTGAAATCCAGGAAAGCAGCAGGACCACATGGAATTCCACCGGAAGCTCTTAAAACAGACGCAGACACATCAGCGGACATGCTCGCAGCATTATTGTGGAGGGTTTGGAATAAGAGCTACCCTGTCAAACTTCCAAACAAATGTGACCTAAGTCCTTGCAGGAACTGGTACGGAATCATGCTCCACCTCTGTCCAACCCAAACAAAACATTAGGCCGCATCATCTTGGAGAGACTAAAAAATGCTCTCCATTCAACTAGGTTACGATCGGAACAGGCTAGCTGGATCCAGAAAGAACAAATCATGCACGGATCAAATTTCAACGCTACACTGAGCATCATCGTAGAACAGAGCATAGAATGGCAGTCAACTCAACTCTACCTCAACTTCTTCGATTTCAAAAAGGCCTTAGACAGTGTCGACCGAGAAAGGATTTGATAGATACTTCAGCACTACGGTTTTCGTGGCACAAGCCTTTATCAACCTCATCCAGCAGTAGGTATATCATGATGGTACATGCCAAGTGACTGACAATGAAAAGCTCAGTAATGTCAATGAAGTTAAGACAGGAGTAAGACAAGGTTGCCGCCTACTATCACCAATCATCTTCCTGATTGTGGTCGACTGGATCATGCAACAAACTGTGAGGAGCGAGACTGATGAAAAGACCCCACAAAAAGATTTGGATTTGGCCAACGATGATGATTTATGTCTAATGTCTTATGTCGCACAAACTCGAAGATCTTCAGGCGAAAACTAACAAGTTGGCAGAAGAGGCAGAGCAGAGTAGCGAAGACGGCACTTTCTTCAGGTGAACATAGAGAATAGAGAGGTGATGAAAATACTCAGCCAACAACAGCATCAGCAACAAGCATCAGTCACCATCAGTGGGAGAAATCTCCAGGAAGTTGTCTTTTTCACCTACCACCTAGGCAGCATTGTTTCAACTACAGGCGGCACAGATGAGGATGTGAAAGCCAGGATCTGAAAGACAACGAAACAGGCCTTCATTAACCTGAAATCAGCGTAGGCATCTACTACACATCACTTCACTGCACTGAACTCAGCATAAAGAACAAGATCCGGAATTTCTACACTAATGCTATTCAAGTAGGTCAGTGCTTCTATGTTATGGTTGAGAGACTAGGCGTGTTACGAAAAGCATTTCCAACAAACTGCAGACAAACATCAGCAGCTGCCGCCTACACTCACTCGATACTGAAGATCAGATCACCAGAAAGAATAAGGAACAAGGGACTCTGGCTGGCGACAAAAAAACCGACCAAGAACCTATCTCCCAACAAGTATGCAGAAGAAATTCGAAATGGATTGTATTGGATTGAACATACACTAAGAAGACCGTTTGGGAACATTATGCGCCAGGTCAGGTCAGGCCCTCAAATGGAAGCCAAATGAGAAACGATGAGTTGGGCGTCTGAGAGTGACATGTAGGAGATCACGTGAGGAAGAAACGAAAGCTTGTGAGCAGTCGTGGATCCAGGTTTAAAAGATTGCAGAGAAGAGAGTGAAATGGTGATGCGCTACTGAAGTCTTATGCTCCACTAGGAACCCAAGGGATAAAAAACAGTAATAATAATAAACCATGGTTGATTTCACAACTTTTAGCCTTAGCAATAAATGAATAGATGAACACAAAGATAGACCACAAACAAGACAGTGTAACACTTTATGCTAAAATGCTATGACTCAGGTTGCAATATATTATAACAGGACGAGAAAATGCATTCAAAATGTAAGTATATTGAGAACAAGGCATGAATTCTTCTAACAGATACAACCAATACAAACGAACGAACTATGCGAACTGATATGGTCTAAAGAATTTTCAACCTAGAGAATATTAATTATACGTCTATCAGTGCTTTGATTCGAATTACGCGAACAAATGGTTAAGCATATGTAAGTACAAATGATAGATGGAACTGACACTATGTAATTGATAAAAAACCCTTTACCTTCACATTTTAAACACAATAAAATGGGAATCGTGCCCTCAATTATACACTGGCTGACTGCTAGACAGAATAAATGTAAATTCTCTCACACAAGTGCAATAGCTCAAGTTGCCAAGCTTCACACTAGTAAACGAAGAATAAGTGGACAGAAAAAGAGAAACATCAAAGTAGACAAAGTTGTGTGCGAGAAAAAGCAATTTGGAGATATGGGTTTACACAAATATCCAAGTTCTAGAAGACGTCAGAAAGGTCATAAATCTGAGTTATTTTGAACGCCAACTCCTTTTGTCTTGGAAGAACCAGTTACACACCAGTCTACAACTTTCCATACAGTCTATACCAACAGCAATAGGATTCATCAACTAGTGTCACATCTCTTTCTGGTCACTCCGAACCTCCTTGAGAAATAATCCAGGTTCTGTTAGCATAGTGCAAACGGGTATGAGGTGGATTGGCATGCGTAACGCATATCCAAGTCACCTAAAGTGTAACTTTGTGATATTGCTAATAATTTAAGTAATACAGTGATGAAATAATAGGATGACAGTGTTTCGCTCAAACTCTTCTGAGAGATTTTCAACTGAGAAAGCATATAAACTTCCCCACTCACTCTTTTTGGGTTTGTTCACAGCTTCACTGCTATAAGCTTAGTCATACAGAGACAAACATGTCATTTAAATTCATAAAACATATATTTCTGAATTTAAGTAATAAAAACGTCATGTACAAGGAGATCTTTCGAAAACAAGGAATATCATTTACCACATTTATTTCAATAAATTTAGAGTAAAATGGTTCAGTAACCAAAGACAATTACATGTCACATATTTAGCTGATAGGAATTCAGGTCCTATCATCTAAAACTAAAAATGCAGTCTGAGTAAATCGATAGCTTTTGAGCTCTTACGTCGAGTCCTTTGAGCTTGGTTCTCGCTGCTCAATTTCGTTCTCATAGCTGGCGAGAAAATCTTTTCTGACACCCTGGTGACGTGAGCATATTCATAATCATCCTCGCGGCTTCTAGATTTAGCTGGCTACACAGCCATGGGTTACTGGGAAGACTTGTCCGTATGAAGACCTGAATCGAGATGGCGATGCGTCGGATGTTTAAGAAGAGTAAAGGTAGATAGGATGAGTGTGATTACTAAAGAGGAGTCGGGAAACGAGGTGGATAAGTCCAAAGAAACACATGGCAGATGGCAAATAAAAGAAAAGCAGTTTTGAGAGAGAGAAGGGCCCTGAGTTGGTCGTTGGTAAGCGATGCAAATTGACATAGTTGTCCAACATTCATTTAAATGAGTTTACCAAGGGAGTGTCACAACATTATGAGGTAAAGCATTCCATATGGCATGTACCCCTAAGGGAAAGCAGTTTGATGACAGTACTATGTTGCCTCTCCTAAGTACCATTGCGATTACGTAGTGGCGAGAGTTTAACTAACATCAATGGCATAGGGTTTGATTGGATTCAGCACTGATGCTGGCGTTTGTAATTGTATGGGAACGGCTAACCTGAAAGAACACGATCAAGAACCCATTGCATTCGGAAATTTTTCGCGTTGTGTAGCGCTGCTCATACGCGATGTTCCTGGGAGCTAGTCAGCATACATTGATACTTTGCCAATGTATATCAAATATACCACCCTACCTGGTTACTTCATTGCTTTTGTCTTGGTCTCACACTCATGGATATATTGCAAGTACGCAAAAATTACTGGTTAATCTCTGCATCTAGCAAGTTTGCTTGAGATTAATCCCTAAGATGGAACTCCTTGTCCGAATAATTTGCAAAGGGGAAATACGACAAAACACCAGCATTGTCCACATCGTTCCCACTGCTGTGGCTACCATATTGTAGGTGAAGTTTGTTTGTTAATGTGACTCCCTTGGTCGATGCTTTCACAAGTCATAAAAAGGTTCCTCTCAATTGCCTGCAGATCACAGTTCGACGACGATAGGTGAAATTTTTGAATTGAAAAAGTGAACTGTATGCAATACAAAAAATATTATTCTGTCTCATTTCCCACATGTACAAATAAATATAACGAGAGTAGAAATAGCTAGCATATTTGTAACTAGGTGCTGCATGCAAATATATATGTGCGTGTGTATATATTCATCAATGTACTCAGAGAATTATATGCTTCATTCAAGGAATAAAAGCAATCTGTTTTTCGTCTCCAAATATATATACCAGAAAACCGGGCGAAGCCAAAAGTCATACCCAGGTGTTAGAGCGTTCTGTGTAAAACTTTGCACTTATGTATTCTGTGTGTATATACTCTGAAGGGAAAACTGCACTCGAAAATCCTTTTCTCTGAAGTTCGAAGTCTCAGTTAAATAACTCTGATTTATGAGCATAATTCGTCCTGAATAACTGTTTTTATTTTCCACCTAAGAATTGAAGGTAACACCAGTACTTTGCGCACCAAACAAAGAGCATGAAATACAATTCAGTGATAGGTGTCATTACAAAACTATGTGGATAGATAAAAATATTATACAGAAGATAGAGGATACTTTCATTTTCACACAGAATGCTATTGCCTATAACAAGCACGATAACACCTCGGAATGACTTTTAGTCTCACCTGCCGAAACCCGACTGAACAAATCAATACTCACATCTTCGGAAGATCGGAAACATCCGAAACCTCGAAAACAGCGCGTTTTCATGACTCTGTGAAAACGAAAACATTTTGAAGCATGCAAACGTTATGAAGGTCACAATTTCTTAAATTGGACTGGAGGTAGAAAGGACAAATATTTTCAAACATTTATAGACTAGGACCCTACCTAAATTATTGTTAGATGTGAAAATACTGTCCAAAATAACTGTCTTAGTGATTGTCTTCACATGGTAGACTCAGAGGTCAACCACTGATTCTTCCTACCTTGTAGAATACTTACAAATGGCACACCCAGAAATAACACAGAAGTGTGGTCAAGTGGAGGTAGTATTTTGGGTGAAAGATACAAAAATTCTGAAGTACTTGGATTAGCTTTCAGGGGATCGCGTATGACCGACGCAACTTAACTTGACAAATGATCTTGATGTATGGTCACGTTTACACAAAATTCAAGCATAGAAAATTGGTAAGGCGAGAGCTGGAAACCAACGATTTTTGGCTGCCCATGCCTAGTCCTCTGGAGTGATGCCTGTCGTTCAGTTTCCTTATTTAGTAGGCAAGGGATTCGCTTCTACTTCCCTGCTTCTAGCTCTTGGGCAACGAATGATTTCGTGCGCTGGCATTCGTAGCTTCTGGGTTGAGTCAGTTAGAAAGCTATGAGCTACTTGAAAGATTAGTGGCATCTTATCACTCCTGTCTACACAGGTGTTCGAACAGGAATAGCTGGATGAGGTTGAAAGTTACACTGAAGGTACCCAAGTGGTAAAAGTAGAGAGTATAAGTCAAGTTACTACGGAAGAGTTAGTGGATTATACAGGCGTATCACGAACAGACAGATGGTTTGCGACATATATGAATGAAGTTGCCGTACGTTAGTGGGGCCAACATCACCTAGATGGCACCGCTGGTAAGCCGTAAAAACCAACATAACTGTCTGACCTTCCTTTGAAGCAGCCTACCGAGGGTGACATGACCATATGCCATGGCAGAGCATCGTATCATGCGATTACCCTTATGGAGAAGAATTTTGACCTGAAACTGGTTCTGGACCACCAATGTTCGATTTTGATGAGGTTTTCTGTTGACGCCCGCCATCCTTCAGGCAAGGCCAGTTGATTGGAGCTGACTTTCAGTAGTTCAGAAGTAAGAGCGCTGAGCTGCCTATCCGGAAAGTTGAAAGTGGTGTTGGACCAGGTGGTTATTATTTTCCAGTAACAGCTGAATTCTGGATTGTCGAAGAGGTTAGGCCCCACATCTTTCATCATAGGCACTTGTATTAGAACCCGGCTGTCCTGACATCGTGAGCCCTGATGCGCATTAAGTTTCGCTTTCACAAGTTGCAGCAATACTACTCCCTGCTATACACCTGGTGTTGATAGTCTCTACTTCGACTCCGTTCTGTCTAGCCTTGTGTTGAACTCCGCGACTTTGTCGAGACCGCCCTGATGATCACTTCATTTCGGTCAAGAGTGCTTACAAGGGGCTTACACGTACCCCTAAGTTGGGACTGGATGCGAAAGGGAGCAAAACAGTACCACAATGAGCTCGAGGGGTGGACGATGGCAACACGGCTAATCACCCTGGCTTCTAAACGGGGACTTATGTAGACACTCCAACTATCAAATGCATCTCCCGGCCAGCAATTTCTCCTGGCGACCAGGATTCGTTTACGAACATGATACCAGTTGGCAAGAGTTAGCTGTGCGTCCTCATCTTTACTACCTTCCATTTTAGTCCTCTGACCTCGCTGTACATACATGCTAGGGTGTACAAGGGGGAAGTAAGGGACTGTGTGCACACTTCTGCGAGGGGAGTGCTTACGTTGTCAGGAAAACCAACCCTTATCGCCCGGCGTCGCCCCGTTTACTGTGTTTTGGTTTCCGCCTGTGGAGGAACTGTAGTGGTATAAGTTTCATAACCCGATGTACCAATTCACTAGACAGTGTCTGCATGACAACAAGTAACCCCAGAATTCTGAAGGGTTGCCATGTTCCCTATTGGATCTTGGGCCACTGTCGCACACGCACTGCGAAATCCGTGTAATCATTCACGTCACACCACGCTTCTAGGACTCTTACTAGAGAAGCATATGGGTGTAATTCAGTGGCTAGCAGTCTAAACGTGGGGAAGGACTTTAGGTGGTTTGGCCTCGACAGTTAGCTGGTGCTGTTCGGCAGTAGAGTGTCGAAGCAAACCTTATTTGAAAGCTAATGCCGTTGTTCGACGTCATGAAGGTACCGATCTTCGGCGCAGCGGTCGGTCAGCAGCTCCGGGATTCTGGGGTGCTGGGCTTTCCCTAGAAAAGCAACGCACCGTTGCTAGGAAAGATGAGAGACCCGGTACCCGAAAGCAGCTGGCCTATGTTTGATTGCCAAGCTGCTCCCTCCTGACCAATAGTGAGTCGGTCAGCTTGCTAACAATGAACGAGATGGACGAGTTGGTCTTTTTGTTACCCGCGTTCTCTATAGGCGACACGCCAGATTTTCCAGCAGGTTTTCCACGCACTCGCTCCATCTGTTTCTTGTTGGCGATGAATACAAAGTGCTGGCCGTGCTTCGTGAAGAGTCTGACAAACGGCATCTTCCTCCGCGCCATTGGGCTTCTCTATGGCCGGCCGCGGGGCACGGAAGTCCAACCTAAAGCAGTCTTTGCGCGCGCTAGTGTGTGCATAGCCATAGACATAGCTTTGTTTTTGCCTGCCGCATGCCACCGTCCGATATTGCCCCTACTTTGTTAGGAGGGGTTAACGGCTTTCATGTTACGGAGAGAGGCCCTCTAGGGCCCCTTGTGTAGAGTATGGGGAGCTTTCCGCCTCCTAAACAGATAGATCAGACAACTTACTTGGTTGCCCCGACACAAACTTGTGATACTGTTGGGGTGCTTTGCTGTCACAGTAGCAATACACCTGCTGCTGTTATAAGTTACGTGCGAATGCCTCGTCGACTACCAGTGCGACCTCGATGCAGATACCATACTGCCACCTGTCTCCCTTGGACACACTGCAGCAGCTCTTGAGATACTTTGTGGTGTGATGAGACTACTCTGCACCATCTGCGGAGTGGCCGTGGACATCCTAGAGACAAAAGGTGATAGTTTATTCAGGAGATCGGCATTCCGCCCTCTGTCTTACTGGCTACAGCATGGAGTGCTGTCTCAACGGCCGCTGTCGTTTCTGGAACACAAACGTGATATCCACTCCAATCCCTCAGGTCTACCGTTCTGGATCGGAATGACCATATTGCAAAGCGGTATCTGACAGTGAAGGGGAAATCAAAGATTGGGTGCTGCGGAAGGACAGAAGGCATAAAAGCAAGTCATTTTGGCCTATCTTGAGAAGCTTGTCACTTGGCCCCATGCACTTGGCTCGCTACATTGCCTGTGACTGTCGAATGTGCATGCGGAACCAGAAAAGATTTTTCTCGGGGAGTGGCCTGCGATGAGAGGCGATGACAAAGGCAGTTGGGCACTTGAAACGACCAAGAACCCTCGGAGTGTTTGGAAGAGCAGGGCATCGACACGACCGTTCCGCCCATTAGGTTCCCCCTCTTTGTCCTTCTTTTCGCTTTCGAGGCCAAAATGTGGTGGCTAGTGGCAGAAAAAGACTTGATGAAAATATCTTTTTATGACCTCAAGTAGCCGGAGCCTCTCATAGTATTTGTAGCGCTGGGCACCAGCCACGAAGTATACATACAGATTTATCATCCAACGGGCGGAACGAGGTATTCTGAGTATAAAAACATGGTCGCACTAATAGATAAGTTGCTTAGTTTTTAAATTTCTCAGTCGAACAATGGACTGATGTTAACTAATAGAGTATATGGCAAAGGTAAACCTTGCCATATAATGCCTCCCAAAATAGCCCGCGGCATTATTAAAATGGTCCGAAAGGCATCGACCAGACTATATCTTCTGGTTTTTGACTTTGTAGGGCTTTCTTCTGTCAGGTGAGACGCTAACTCGCTGTGGAAGGTGCCAAGAAGGGCAAAAAGGTGTATCTCTTCGCTAGGGAGTAAATTGGTCTCCGGCCTCTCCATCAGTTAAACCTACCCACTCTCATTCTCCTACGAAATGAAGCGATCTTGTAACAGCTTACAAAGTCGCCCATTAGATGGCCCTTCCCGGCAATCAGTTACTGCCTACCCGGGATAGGTTCCAGTGCCACAACCCAAGAGAAGTGGTATAGCAAGGGAATGATACCAAGATCATGGCCAGCATGGTATGAAAAACGCTTTCATGATGGCCAGAGATGGTTTTGTATTTGGGTAGTGGGAAATTGGTTTGGACTGTTAATTTAATATTCAGCGTCCGTCGTCGATCTGCACAGAGGGTCCCTTCGGTAAATCACAGATTATCCTCCGATTCAACTCAACAATAACGGAGCAGCGACGGGTACTATCTAGTTAACACTTTTCACTAATATATACCTATATTTTCCGGGATATACAAACACACACCACTTTTGCAGATGTGAATAATTCTACATGCAAGTCACACGTAGCTTTAGGGCGGGTAATTTTGCCTGCTGGAATGCTTTGTTGTACGTCAACAAGGTGTGGGACGTCAAAAGAATTTGTATGCACAGATTGGCACCTAGGACAATTGGAAGCACTTTCTTCGGACTCACAAAAATCCATGGTTCGCGTTTACGCACTGAAGGAGTTGCCTCGACAAAAATTTAAGCTAGAGGCTAATACTCTCAGTTTTGCACCTGTCTTATTTCGCTCAGTGTAAGGGATGAAAAGAGTAGGCACGAATATATGTGTGCGGTCCGTCACTCGCTGGCATTATGCATTTCTTCACTTTCCAATCGGCCAATCCCCTTTCCTTCAATGGCTGCGTGGAACACACTAACATCCACACTTTCAGGGCCCAAAGATAACTGAGTTGCATCAAAGCAAATGACCTCTTCAGCACCCCACCATGGTCCCTTTGCTTTCTCCGCCCAACATTTACACAGTTCAGAATCACAGTATCAAAAACCAAATGCGGAACGCCTTAAGTGAATTCCATCCCCTCAGAAGTACACGCAGACGAAATCCCTCCACT